GGCAGCAGCAACCGGAACACCACCAGCAGCACAGCAGGAAGAACAGCACAAGTAATACCCTTTGTACTGTTCCTCCTGCTGCTGCTGCTGCTGCTGCTGCTGCTGCTGCTGCTGCTGCTGTTGCTGCTGCTGCTGCTGCTGCTGTAGATACGGCAGCAGCAGCAGCAGACAAAACAGCAGCAGCAGCAGCAATGGAGACTCTTGCAGCAGCAACTTAATCTTTTGCTGCTGCTGTATTTTGCGTTTAAGCAGAACGGCTGCTGCGAGTGCTGATGCTGTTTCTGCTGCAGCAGCTGCTGCTGCAGTTGCTGCTTCTGCTGCAGCAGCAGCAGCAGCAGCAGCAGCAGGTGCTGCTGCTGCTGCTTGTGGGGCTAAACGCCGCCCGTAGACGACAGTGTTTTAATTGAAGCAGCAGCAGCAGCTAGTGCTGCAGCAGCTACAGCAGCAGCAGCAGCAGAAGCATCTGCTGCAGCACTAGCTGCTGCTGATGCTGCTGCTGCTGCTGCTGCAGCAGCAGCAGCATCAGTTTCCCGTTGCTGCAGTGCAAAACAAAATAACTTTAAAGCAAGTTCCCTCATCCTAAAATAAACCAAAATCTGCTGCTGCTGCTGCTGCTGCTGCTGCTGCTGCTGCTGCAGCAGCAGCAGCAGATAGGCTGCAGCAGCAGCAGCTGCTGCAGTGTAACATACGCATAGAGATACGGCTCTTGCCGCACCCTATAGAAAAGTTGCTGCTAGCTGCAGCAGCAGCAGCTGCTGCAGCTGCTGCTGCTAGCTGCTGCTGCAGCAGCAGATGCACCTGCTGCTGCTAGCTGCTACTGCAGCAGCAGATGCACCTGCTGCTGCTAGCTGCTGCTGCAGCAGCTGCTGCGCCTGCTGCTGCTAGCTGCTGCTGCAGCAGCAGATGCACCTGCTGCTGCTAGCTGCTGCTGCAGCAGCAGCAGAGGCAGCAGCTGTTGCTAGCTGCGGCAGCAACAGCTGCTGCGCTCAAATTCAGCTTC